AAATGAAAATGACAGAGGGGTATAAGAATTTAAAAAATCAACCAAATCCATTAAATTGACTTAAATATCATACACCAACTTTCTAGCCCCATCACTTTATTGCTTTTGCAGAGCCTACACTTGGGAAGGTGACTAGAAATTTCAATTGAAATTAATTAAAATGAACAGCCATTTTTACGGGTACTAAATTTTCACCGCTAAATCGATATTTTCAAATGTCCATGAATTCAATATCTAACACGAGGGATGAATCAACCGTTCTATATATGATAAGAAAAACGATGAACATAATATCATTAAATTTATTTAAAACTGTGAAATGTTATTTTGTTAATTTAAATATTTGTTATGATTTTTTTAAAATTTTTTTAGAATTATTTATCGAGGTTAACATTTTATCAATATAACATTGAAACCTATATATAAAACTTTGTGTATAATAAATGCTATCTCATTTAATTTCATATAACTTAAAATTAAATGTGATTATTTACTATAAACTATGGGGCGGATATTTCAGCATTTGACTTACAAAAAGGTCACTATAATGAATTAATCAATTAAGTGGGTAAAATAAATAAAATATAGTTGATTTAGTTTTAATTAGTTTAATAAATTTTGATGATTTTTTTTTTTGAGAAATTTAAATTTTGATGATTGGGATCTTACTGATTGGAACATGAATTAACTAAGTTTGTGCATGTCCCAATTCATTGTAGTAGTTATAAGGCAACTTTAAAACTACTTTTGGGGAGTTTGGTTCCCATGTTGCTATGGTGTATATTTTGTCTTTATTCTCTTCTAAAATACATTAATTTTTATAAGTAAATCAATTTAATTAAAATTATATGTAATAAATAATTAATTCATATATCGACAATTTTTTTTCTAGTTTTTTTTTCAAATGATCCCAAAAAGATCTAATTTTATTTTGTTCTTGATATCTATTTCTAGCTGTTTTTTTATTTTATTTTATATAGTTGTTCATTTTATTTCTACCATTTTTATTTACTTTTTGTTATCACTATCGCATTTTTAAAAGACAATTATAATTTTATATAATTATTTATTTTAATTTTATATCTTCTTTTTAACTTATGAAGTTAATAGTTTTTAAGCAAGTATTATTTAAAAGATTTTCACTTTGTAATAATTTGTAATAAAATGTAATTGTCAAATAAAAATAAGTGGAATTTAATAGTAATTTTTTATGGTAATTAAGTAATCAAAATTACTTAAGATAATAAATAGTAAAAAATTAAATAAATTGTTGATAGCATTTTCTCTACAATAAAATTTATGTCGAACAAATTTGTATATTCTTGTGTAGACTTTGATAAATACTTGGAAGTATTTTTATAAATAATTGAATATTTATTTTAAAAATTAATCATTGGAAAAAAAAGTTGGATGGACAGATGYATTAAGAATAATATTTTATATATATTTCCTAATTCCATAAAAAAATTGACTTTTATGTAATTTAAATTATTTTAATTAAATAATTAGTTTACAAATTATTTAAAAATAAAAAAAAGAAAATTAAAACTCAAATAACCGAACACAAGTTTAATAAAGTAAAAACGAGCATAGCTCAACGGTAATTGAGCTATACCTTAAATCAAGAGATTGTGAGTTCGAATAACCTGAAAAAAAAAAAAACAATCCAAATTTAACACCAACCACTTAACAAATCTAAATTTAATAAACCTATTTCATACAACATGACGAAACAACGAACCAAACACCCGATTATTTCAATGTCTACCTTGTAACCAAAAGAAATGTTAAATTACATGTAGCTAATTACACCCTATTCAACCCAGAGATACTTATTGGAGCTTGTTGATGTACTTGATGAGCTCTCTTTATTTATATATTACATTATAAACATATTCCCTAACCATAAAAAAGTAGAATCCAAAGTGAAACACAAACTAAAAAAATTGTGAACAATCAAAATCTTTCTCGAATGGTTTGGCAGGAGAGCTGTCTTAGGATTTCTGGCAATGTCTATGAGTCAGGAGAAGAAGATCTGCACAGTGGCTTCTATATCTCTCTTAGAGGATTGACAGAAACTCAGCCCGACAACGAAGGAGGATGAAATGAAATTGCGATAAACGTCGACAAAGAAGCAGAAAAGTAACAGGTCAGGCCCTTGATTTCAGTCTGCTTAAAAGTATTTGTAAGAACCTTTTCCTCTTGGATACGCGACAACACAAGCGTATGAGCTAAACAAGCCTCTAGCCACTTGAATTGAATCCAATCACACAGATGATTCAATTTGAAAGGGAAGAGTTAGAATGATTATCTTTGAAGTCAAATACCACAAGTAGACAAAATACTTATTATACTCGAGGTCGAAACACTCCATGGTGACCAACCAAGCTTCGATGTTTCTTAGCAATACATCCTAAGTTCTAGGTGCAAAAGAATACACCAAGGGGGTTTGCGAAAGGCAAAGGGGTAGAGAGAAACATCTCAATTCTATTCGAATTCAATGTCTTCAAAAGAGTACAAGGGGCCGCACAAAGGTTCCTCCTAAAATTCGAAAAGATATTGTTTACCCTAATAAAGTAACGAAAATAGTTTTTTTTTTATATAAATAAGATTAAATCTAAACCACCAAAAAATTTAAGACAAAATCTTCAATCAACTAAGGAAATTTTCCTTTAAGTGACTAAGAACGGATGGCAAGAAAAGGGGCAAGGGTTGGTGCGCAGGCGTCGAGGGCTGATAAGGCATTCGGGCATGTCGCTAATTGCAGGCGTGGGCGTGGCGCTGGGTAGGCAGAATGGCAGACGCATGGGCGTGCATTGATGGGTGTTGGTGTTGGGTAGAGAACAACGAAACAAGGAAAAATGACAAGAACCTATAGACTGAAAAATGAGAGAAAATACCATGTTTTATTCAATCATAGAAGTGTCTTTTTATAGGCTGATACAATACTGGAAAATCCTAAAAATACTCAACAAACCAAAGCAACTAATGCCACTAAATGAGACCTTGTTCTTACTAACAAACTAACAGAGATTTATGAAACTAAACTCATTGGCTACTAAAGACTAGCTAAAAGCATTTTGTGTTATGAATCGCTACACCTCAACATACCCTCTTGATTCATAACTATACACGCCAAGATAAGTTTTGAACTTGACTTGTTTCTCACAAGAAAGAAGCTTCGCGAATATGTCTGCCAGATACCCATGGGTGGTATAAAACGTCATATTTATCAAGCCATTTGCTTCCAAGTCTCTAATAAAATCAAAACGAATGTCGATGTGCTTTGTTATTTCATGTAATGCTGGAATTTTTGTGGTAGCAATAGTGGACATGTTATTGATAACGCTGCGAAAAAGAGTTATTTTACTGAATATTTGGGTAAATCTGTGCATAAATGTGAGGATTTGTGTATAAATCGCATATAGAAATGAGGAATTGAGTAGAAAAGTAAATTAACATGTTTTAATTCCTTGAGTTGATGAAAATTGTTCAAGTTCCTACTTATTTTCTCCTGTTTTGGTTCAATTTTGCATAAGATGGAGCTGAATAAATCAATTGGTTAAAGAGCAGCTCAGCCAAAAGAGAATTGCATGAGCGTTGTTAGGGTTTCACTGAATGAAAGACAATGGAGTCAATTCATATTTGTTTAAATGGAACAAAATCGTGTAGCCAAGTCAAAAAGAGCTTGTTTGAAGAATCCCAACCCATTCCCCCCTATTTTGGTGGGAAGTTCAACCTTTTTGAAGGCCTTATATAAGGGAATCTCCCCAGTAGCATTTTCATCCTCATTTGCTTCATTCTTAGGTTTAGTTTTCGTTGATTAGCTTTATAGTTCGTTGGACTACTCGTTGTTTCGAAAGAGAAGAAGGTTAAGCTAGAATATTGAGTTGGTTTTTAAAAAAGTCTCTTTACATATTTTTTTCTATTTGGTACGGGAAAATTGATTTATGTACTAAAGTCCAACTTTTGGTTAGGTAAAATAATAGGAAACCAATATTGAGATTTTTCTATTAAAAAAAAAAGAATGTTGTTGGAGGGGAAGTCATTGAGAATTGTCTGGCGATTTTACAAAAGACAAAACTCTAATATAAACTGGTATTCTAAAAACATAGTGCTCGTCCCAAAAAAAAAAAATATATATATATATATATATAGCCCGAAAAAGTTATTGATTTTATACCGTTTAACTCATGTAATATTTCCTACAAAATCGTTACTAAAGTCCTAACCTAGCTATTACTCTGAGTTGTAATATTGTAACTTCAAAAATAAGACAAGTTCAATCTTAAATAATAATAATAATTATTATTATTAAAAAAAAAAACCCATTCTTGAGTAGTTTATGGTAACTTACCTGAAAATGGACCTATTTAAATTATCATTATGTTATGTTATAAAAACAAATTGCCTTATAAAATTACTAATATATATATATATATATATTATTTTTTAATTTAGAAACATCCTTCTTTCAATATGTAATTAATGGCATCCTAATTAAATACCGGATAGAAAAATCCAATACACAAAAAATGAATTTAAAACTTTTGAAAGATTAAAAGGAAATTGAAAAATGATAGAAACACATGTCACATGCCAAGTAAAATTTCATATAGTTGTAAAATATTACATTATAATTTTAAGTTAAAATGCCATTTTGATTTCTATATTTTATTCCATTTTAATCCATATACTAATAAATCTTAAAATTAGTCTAGAGATTTTATTATTTTTGATAATAAATATTCAAATTTATTATAATTTATTACCCGTCCCTACTTTCAAATATCTAAATTTGGTCCCTATTTTAACAGCATTTTTATTAAATAAAAAGATATATATTTTTTAAAAAAAAATTTCAAAAATCCATCCCAAACACAACACACCATATCAATCAAACCCATAGATTTGTACACAAATTTTGACAACATTTAGAAATATCCAAAACTCCTCAATTTTCGCACATCCAAAAATAGGAAAAGAAAATAGGCATTATTCCAATTAATTCACCACCGAGTATCTCTGTTTTTTCTTCTGATTTTCAAATTTCAACCGCGGCGTCAAACCGACATGTCGTCCGGTCTTATCTCTCTCCTCATACTTCGCCAACACTTCCTCCCCGCCGTTTCTTCCCCTCCGAAAAATAACCAAAATCTTCGAACCTCCATTTTCTCCTCAAACCAAATCCTCCATTGTTCTTATTCTCTCCCTCTCCGATCTTCCACAAAACTCATTTCGATCCATTCCAATCGCATCGCGGAGCCCTAATTTCCATCAGAAATCGAACCCTCGTTTCTTCCGCATTTCTAATTAGGTTTCGCCATGAGCTGCAGAATCCGCAACAAGACGACGCTCGATCATCAATTTCCGATCGCCATCTGCTTCTGCTTCTTCCTTGTCCTCATTTGCTCCACCAATTTTTGTTCCGTCCGGGCTCAGGACTACTCTGAGGACTACACTGAGGACTACGACTATGGAGATGATTCCGGCGTCAATTCCGCCACCGGCGCCATCTTGGCCGAGCTCGTTAACGATCGGATTAAGAATTTCACCGCCATCTTCAAGGATGATATCAATAAGAATTTCGGTTTCTGCATTGCCGACGCGTTAGTTCATTCTTCTTTTCCCTTTATCATCTTCGTTTTGCGATTTCAATCGGAGGAGTTGTTCTTCTTCTTCTTCTTCTTCTTCGTTTTTTGAAAATTTTGAATTTCGTTGCAGGAATGTTGATTGGGATGGAGCCTTTAATTTCACCGGTAATTCCACCTTCATTTCAACTTGCGCTAGAAAGAGTAAAGGTAAACTTCACATCCTAAGCCAAATGCTAAATTTTAAATTCCTTTTTGTTCTCGTTTCTTGTTTTGTTCTCAGTTTTTCTGCAAATTGTCTAATAAATACTTTTTTTTTAATTAAAATATAACCTAATAATTTTGAATATTTTATTTTCTAAAAATTAATTCTCACATAAAATTGTGATTTTGTTTTTTAATTTTAAAATTTGGTCCTTAATGGGTTGGGCCTTGTTAAACCTTTTAAAACCACAGGGATTAGATTAAAATTAACATTAAGTAGTAAATTGTTAGAATTCATAGAGAATTTAAACTCTTGAAACTAGAAATGATTACTAAATATATTCTAATTTTTTTTTCTCCAAGAACAAAAAGAACAAAAACAAGAAATATTACCGACACAATGAAAAAAATAGAAACAAGAATCAATAAGCAGGAAAACGATAATCTAACGTTCCGTTTTCTTTTTCTTTTTAATAAATTGAAAAAAAACTGGTAATTGTTTCTTATTTATTGTTTTTTTTATTTAAAGAATTTTAAATCGCATTGAATAACCATTTTTTGTTTTTCGTTCTCTTAAATTTTAATTTAAAAAAGGTAAAATTTTTATATAAAAAATAATTTTTAAAATTAAATATTTATTTACCATTTTATAAGTCAAGAATGATATAATATAATTTATATATGTTTCTGAAATTATAAGAAACAAGAAACTTAGCCCATTTGATAAAGTTCCAGTTTTTTTCTTTCTCAATTTTCAATTTGATTGAGATTCAAGCCATTTGACAACCAACATTTGTTAAAAACGAAAAACGAAAAACGAGAATTAAGAAACATGAATAGTTGCGTCAAAAAAACAATTGCACCCTCTATACTTTATTAAAAAAAATAGAAACTAAAAACAAGAAACAAGATAGAAAATGGGAATTAGGTAGGGTACGGGTAAATTTGCGGATATTGTGATTGTGAGTAATGGAAGTTAGTAGTGTTTGTTCAGATCTTCTGACGAGACTATGCACAGCAGCAGAAGTGAAATTTTTCCTGGACAGTTACTTCAGCAGCGGGGCGTCGTCAAAGAGAACAAATTACCTGAAACCAAACAAGAACTGCAATTTGTCTTCATGGGTTTCTGGGTGTGAGCCAGGATGGTCTTGCAGCTCTGGAAAAGGCCAGAAAGTTGAGTTCAATAATTCCAAAGTTATCCCTCAAAGAATTAAGAGATGCCTCCCCTGTTGTGAAGGTTTCTTCTGCCCCCATGGCATCACTTGCATGATTCGTAAGTATCACTATTCTCCATCTCCTTAATTACCTTCCTTTCGCTTTCGCCGAGTGATTTTTGGTTCATTTTGGTCTCTGACGTAAAAAATACACTACGGGTCTCTTCGCTCGAGACCCGTTTATATATGGTATGCAGTAAAAAATTTATTTGTCCTGGGAAGTTTAAATAAGTTTTTACTGTATATTATATATAAATTACAAATGAGAACGATTTTCAACTAAGTAAAAGTAAAGATAAAAATTTTTATATGATTGCACATGTTATGCATGTGACATATGTTTTTTATATTTCACGCCCCATTTAATAGCCATTTTACGTTTTGTTTTAGAAGTTAGTTTTGAAATCTTAGCCAATTTTAAAACGGAACATAGGTTTTTACAATTTCACCAACATTTTTATTTCAACCTAACTCATTTGAATTCTTGACCACGAATATTGTTTTATGTTCTACAAAAACAATTAAATAAATAAAGTACAAACTAATATCTTCTTCTTGTTTGTTTAAAAACAAAGAGAGAAATTTCTCAGCCATCCCACTTTTTGTCCTAACACATTCTCCATATTTACCCCATTGAAGCTTGTCCATTGGGTGCTTACTGCCCACGTGCAAAGCTGAACAAAACCACCGGGGTTTGCGAACCGTAAGTTCTTCCTTCCAACATCATTCGGTTTTCTGTTTTCTGTTTTCTGTTTTTGGTGCGTACATATCTATATTGTTCGTGTTTTTTCGTGTTGTAGTTATCATTATCAGCTGCCACCAGGCAAGGTAAATCACACCTGTGGAGGAGCAGATGTATGGGCAGATATTTTGAGTAGCAGTGAGGTATTCTGCTCAGCAGGATCATATTGTCCTTCTACTGTCCAAAAACTTCCTTGCAGTAGTGGGTATTGATAAACATCCTACAACTTCTCATCATACACACACACCACACATATATATATTTTTAACTTCAAACTTTTTTCTGCTGCCATTTCTCCAGATTACTCTCTGGAATTTCATGTATATGATGTTTTTTCTTTTGTTTTTGTTTTTGTTTTTGTTTTTGTTTTTTTGTTTTGTAGGTATTATTGTAGAACAGGTTCAACTTCTCAACAAAGTAAGTTTTCTTATTGTCTGAAGTATTTTATTTTTTCTTCTTTAAATTTGAATTTTTTATATTTATTTTTATTTTTTTAGTACAACATATGGGGTGGGGATTCGAATTCACGACTTAGATAGGTGTATTAACAATTTGATTTTTTTTATTGATATCAAATATAGATGAAAATGGATGAAAACCATTTTTCGGTTTTTTAGGAAACTACTATACATATATATAGAGAGAGGATATAAACTATAATCCAATAAGTATAACTCCCTTTCTTTGTATTTATATGCAACCTATTTTTTTTTTTTTTGTATTTATATGCAACCTACTTTTTTTTTAGCACAAATTAATATCATACTACAATGCCCCCATTCTCGTCAAAAATTAGAATGACAAAGAATTAAAACAAAAATGAATCAGAATAAAATATAGGGGAACAGGGATGCTATTTACTAAAAATTATATAGAATCAGAATTAAAAGGACGTTACCAGAGTACCCATTTATATTTCTAACTAATTAAAAACATATTAATTAAATAGTATGAAAATATAATTTTTTTAATTAAGAGAACAATAACATATTATAAATTTTGTCAACCCGAGCATAGCTTAATCGGTTGAGATACCTATTTCCAACCAAAAGGTTGTGAGTTCGAATTCTCATACATGAATTCTCATCCACACATGTACTAAAAAAACATTTAATAAATTTTAATTTATTTATTGCTATTTTATTTTGCAGTAATATTTTTTATTTTAATAATTTAATTGATATTGATAAATAATAACTAATTAAAATAACAAAAAAAAGGTTAATATATTTTTATTAGAATAATAATTAGTGTTACAGTTATTAAAAATTTTATTGGTTATTAGTTAATATAAATTAAATGTTGAAAGTAAGATTATTGTTAGTATTTATTAATATAAGGAATCCTGTTTTCACAATTTAATTTATACTAATTAATAATAACTAACTAAAATTAAATAATTGATAAATTAATAGAAGTTTGCAATATTTTATAATAAAATCACATAAGCTAAAAAGTTATTGTAATCTTTTATTAGCATAAAATTTATTCACAAAAATATAGATTGATTTTATTGGTATATGTTGAAAAATATTAATGTTGTATTTTATTTATTTTTTAAATAATAATAATAATGTTCTATTTTAACAAATTAAGTAATAATTATTTATTAGGAAAAAAAACCAAGGGAAATTTTCTACTAGTATAGGAGTAACTACTCCCTTTGTTCACACTTGAATTTTACCTTATCAACAATTCTTTAACGTTGGTGGACTCCACGTCATTTTTAATATGAAACTATAAGCAATAAATGAAAGAAATATTTATACTCTTGCAGTAGCAAAAATTTTCCCATCAAAGAGTATAGTTGTAAAGCTACAAAATAATTAATAATTTCTAATGAGTATAACCCAAGACATCTACTTTTTTCCTTGTTGGAAAGCTCGCGGGTCCTACATAAAAAGATGAAAGAGAAAAATTATAAAGTTATAAAGTAATTAATAAAAGGTCGTGGTTCCCACAAAATAAGGAAAGGAAATGAGATTGACTATAATTTTTATGGGAGTGGATAGAATTTTCCATATTTTGGAAGAGAATGATTCCTCAATTTGAGGTGGGTTCATCCCAATTAACTCAATTCCTTAATTCCTGCACGTTGCAAGCCACATCTATGTTAACTTTGCATCCATGAGAGGAGGGGTTCCTGCACGGAGTGCATGCGCTCTTTGCTTCATCCTTGTTTACATAGTAATAGTATGCATGTATCCTATTAGATGGTAGAACTAGGTTTGTTTTTTGATGTAGCATCTCGAATAATTAAGTGGCTAAACCTTTTGCATTATCCATGGCTTGTGTGCTTACTCTAATCTTTATGATAATTGCAGAATGCTTTCGGATGGCAACATGTACACCAAAGTCAGCCAATCAAAATATTACTGCATATGGTGTCATGCTATTTGTAAGTGGCTTTTAATCTCAACAGTATATTTTTTATGGATCATAAATTCAAGTTTGTGAAATTTTGGACTATCACATCATAATCGAAACCTCATAAAGTTGTTCCTTTTGTCATTCCGACCATTTAGATTTTGGTGGGCGTAGCCAGAGATTTTCATAGGGAGAATCGAAGTTTGACGTTATAACTTTTCATATATACACACTTTCGGTTTTGATACGTCACATGTGTGAATGCAGGCTGGACTAAGCTTTCTTCTGATCATTATCTACAACTGCTCCGATCAAGTTCTCTCAACTCGGGAGAGACGGCAAGCAAAATCTAGAGAAAAGGCAGTCCAAAGTGTAAGAGAAACAGCACAAGCCCGTGAGAAATGGAAATCTGCAAAAGACGTTGCAAAGAAACATGCAGTTGAGCTACAAGAACAGTTCTCTCGCACATTCTCTCGCAGAAAATCCACAAGACAGCCGCCAGAAATACCCAAAGGTCCTGTCCAACCCAAGCCTGGGACAGATGCTGCCTTAGGACCTTTGCCAATGGGTAATTTTGATCATTTTAATACCATTAAATTACAAGTTTGTTCTCTCAACTTTATTATTTACGTATCTGTTTCTCAATATTTACTCCAATTATTTGCCATATCACGGAACACAGGAGCATCATCTACAACATCGAAAGGAAAGAAGGGGAAGAGTGACCTCACGAAGATGATTCATGCAATTGAGGATGATCCTGATAACCAAGAAGGCTTCAACCTAGAAATAGGGGATAAAAACATTAAGAAGCAAGCACCAAAAGGGAAGCAATTGCACACACAGAGCCAGATATTCAAGTATGCATATGGTCAAATTGAGAAGGAGAAAGCCCTGCAGGAGCAGAACAAGAATTTGACGTTTTCTGGAGTCATCTCAATGGCAAATGATATTGATATTGAGATAAGGAAAAGGCCCACGATTGAGGTTGCTTTTAAGGATTTGACTCTCACTTTGAAAGGGAAGAAGAAGCATTTGATGAGGTGTGTTACTGGGAAAATAATGCCTGGTAGAGTTTCTGCTGTGATGGGTCCATCCGGGGCTGGAAAAACAACATTTCTCTCTGCTTTGGCTGGAAAAGTGACTGGGTGTACCATGTCTGGTATGATTCTTATCAATGGAAAAGCGGAGTCAATTCATTCATATAAGAAAATTATTGGATTTGTGCCACAAGATGATATTGTGCATGGGAACTTGACGGTGGAGGAGAACCTCTGGTTTAGTGCAAGATGCAGGCATGTCTGTTTTTATTCTTCTACACTGATTTTTTTTTTAAACTGCTTTAAAGTGAAATCACTTTTGATAGGACAAAGACTTCCCTACTAACTAGGAAACAAGAATCTTCCTCTGTCCTCAAGTTTCTCACAGGCAAGAGAGAGGAGTGCAAAAGAGAAGAGAAGATTTATATTTTCTATTCTTTGGTATACTGGAGGAAATTTATTGTTGTCCAGTCAGTAGGGAAACACTTTTAACTCTCCTAAAAAGTCATTCCAAACTCACGTTAAATTAGTTTAGACGGATTGAAATGGTTTGTGTGTTTTAAACTGGTTTTGTTGTTGTTGTTGTAGACTTTCAGCTGATCTGCTCAAACCAGAGAAGGTGCTTGTAGTTGAAAGAGTGATTGAATCTTTAGGGCTACAGCCAGTAAGGGATTCTCTTGTTGGGACAGTGGAAAAGAGAGGGATCTCCGGTGGTCAAAGAAAAAGAGTAAATGTTGGATTGGAAATGGTGATGGAACCTTCTCTTCTGATTTTGGATGAGCCAACTTCTGGTCTTGACAGTTCATCTTCACAGTTACTCCTTAAAGCACTCAGACGTGAGGCGCTTGAAGGAGTCAACATTTCCATGGTTGTTCACCAGCCGAGGTAAGCAACTCTTACCGGACTTCATCCGTATGGTTTGAGCTTAATTTCAATTTGGTCCTTATGATTTAAAAGTTTCTAATTTAGTTCCTATTGTTTGGTCCTGTTACTATATTGTGTGCATAATAGGCTCGTCTTTTCTATTTTACTTATTGTGTTAAGGTTTAAAGCTGAGTAAAAAGTAAGTAGAGGTAGACGGGTGAATTTTCAGTTAGGTATTAGGAACAACGTGTGAGGTTTGACCAAATCTATTGACCAAATTGAAATTTATAGAACTTTAGGAAATAAATTAAAATTAAGCTCAATCCATAAATTTTTAACCTATATTTAAAATATGGGCCAACTAAATTGACTTATGATAACATTCTTCAATCTTTGAGTATTTTTTTTCAATTTAGTCCCTAAATTTTTAACATTTTTCAATTATAACTTTCCTAATGGTAAATATTAAAATTGACTTATGATAAACTCAAATGGCATTGTACTTGGTGAGTCAATAGAAATTTAGCAGATGGATTAGGCCACCTAGGCACCCAAGAGAGGGAAGTTTCTAATTGGCAGAATTTCAACTTTTCTTCTCATTGATAGCTTGATTCCTTTAATTTCTGTCAACTTACCAAGTATCTTAACAAGTAAGCTTATCATGAGCTAATTTTAATATTCACTGAGGAAAGCGTATGATTAAAAAATAAATGTGAAAACACAAGAGAAGAGACTAAATTGAAACGTTTTATGAGCTGAAGATAGATAACACGTCTGTTTTTCCCCTCTTGTCTTGTCTGTGTTGGATGCTTCAGCTACACGTTGTTCAGAATGTTTGATGAGTTGATCCTTCTAGCCAAGGGAGGATTAACAGTGTACCATGGGCCAGTAAAGAAAGTGGAAGAGTACTTCGCCAGCCTTGGGATCACAGTCCCAGAAAGAGTCAACCCACCAGACTATTTTATAGACATTTTGGAAGGCATGGTGAAGCCAACCACGACCACGGGCATAACTTACAAGCAACTTCCAGTGAGATGGATGCTCCACAATGGGTACCCTGTCCCCATGGATATGCTGCAGAGTATCGAGGGCATGGCGGCTTCGGCAGCAGAAAACTCAAGCCATGGAGGAGCTGGTGAAAGCTCTGCCGAGTCGCAGTCGTTTGCTGGAGAGTTTTGGCAGGATGTTAAGCATACTGTTGGGGTGAAGAGAGACATTATCCAGCTCAATTTTTTGAAGTCTAGTGATTTGTCTAACCGTAAAACTCCTGGTGTCTCCCAACAATACAAGTACTTCCTTGGAAGGTATGTTCTATTCTCCTTTTTCGTTCTCATTTCTTGTTTCTCGTTTCTCGCTTCTCATTTCTTATTTTATGAGAAATTCAAACCCAAACTCTAACAATCTAACCCAATTGTCAACACAATGTCATTATTAATTTGATACGGTGGGTCAAGGAGGAGGGTCTTCAGTTTTGTCGAAACTTTACATTATTTCATTGATTGATTGGAAGAAGTTTTCCATTTTGAAATGGGTGTTGATTTATTTGCAGGGTTGGGAAGCAGAGGCTTCGGGAAGCCAGAACACAGGCTGTAGATTTCTTGATTTTATTGCTTGCCGGAATATGTTTAGGAACTCTTGCTAAAGTGAGCGATGAAACATTTGGCTCACTTGGATATACATACACTGTCATAGCTGTCTGTAAGTTTTTACTCTCTATCTACGATTCAATTCATTCGAAATCTGATCAATTTGATCCGGGAACTTTGAGGATTGTGTCTAATAAGTTCTTGAACTGTCAATTTTGTGTCCGATGTGTCCCAAACTTTAGAAAGGGTATTAGACACAAAATTGAAAGTTTGGAGGCTTGGTTGTTACAAAATTAAAAGTTCAAGAACCCGTTATACACCTTTTAAAATCTTGGAAATCTATTACACACAAAATTAAAATCTATGGATCTATTAAATACTTTTTAGAATTTAGAGATATGCTAGACACAACCCAGTAAGTTCAGGGATCAAACTTAATATTAAATTACAAATTTAGTCCCTAAATTTGTAGGATTGTGTCTAATAGATCCCTAAAATTTTAATTTTGTGTCCATACGTTCCTAACCTATTTAACATTTCTTACAATACATGGACCTATTATTTTGTATTTTATAGGATCTTTACCTTACAACTCTTTGTTCAATGAATTCGTAGATTTAGAGAAAAAAAAGTCTAATAGGTTAGAAAGTTCAAGAATCTATTAGACACGAAAGTATAAGTTTAGAGACATAATCAACATTTCTTCACGTTCAAGGATTTACTAGACACAGTCTTCAAAGTTTAGAGACTAAATTCATAATCTAACGTTTCTTTTTTCGTTTTTAATTTCAGCCCTGCTGTGCAAGATTGCAGCTTTGAGATCATTTGCATTAGACAAGCTGCATTACTGGAGGGAGAGTGCCTCTGGAATGAGCAGCCTGGCCTACTTTCTTGCAAAGGACACAATTGACCATTTCAACACAATCATAAAGCCTGTTGTTTACCTCTCCATGTTCTATTTCTTCAACAATCCCAGATCTTCTATCACAGACAATTACATAATCTTGGTTTGTCTGGTTTATTGTGTCACTGGAATTGCCTATGCATTGGCCATCTTCCTCGAACCCGGCCCTGCCCAACTCGTGAGTCGAAATTTTTTTGCATTTTCCCTCATCATTACACTAGTTTATTTCTTTCTCTAATCTTGGATAATAGGGAGTTCGGGATGTCTTTTGAAAACAAAAAAGTTATTTTTAACTGACTCGCTTTCAAAAGAAAACTAACAGAATGTTTCACTTAAAATTTTATTAAAAAAATACCCTTTTTAATTTCATTATTCATTTACTAACATTTTTCATATGAAAAAAAAAAATTCATTTTCATCCAAATCTAAAAATAACTTTCATTGAAGTCCAACGTAGCAAAAGTTATACGATATTCATTGATGTGGCAAATAAGTTTGATTGGCGTGATCATATTTTTTTTTTTCATAAAGTATCGGTATGACAAGTCATATAAGTTGAAAAACATGACTTTAGACTAGATTTCAAGCATTATTTCGATCGATATCGAGATATTTACAAGTATAAACACTAAATAAAAAATTAAGATTAAAGCATAAATTAATAACCTGTTAATGGTTTGCTATGTGGAATTGCAGTGGTCAGTACTTCTTCCAGTTGTTTTGACACTAATTGCAACTAACAATGATAACAACAAAGTTGTAGAATCCATAAGTGACCTCTGCTACACAAAGTGGGCTTTGGAAGCTTTTGTGATAGCCAATGCTAAAAGGTAACTTCAAATATTGACATTTCTTGATATATATCTCTCTCTCTCTCTCTTCTTTTGGTATGTTGAAATTTCTTTGTTTCCAATTCTTAGGTACGACGGAGTATGGTTGATAACACGATGTGCTTCTCTATTGAAAGGTCATTACGATCTCAAAAACTGGTACAAATGTTTAGTTTATCTCCTTATTACAGGAGTACTTAGCCGTGGAGCTGCTTTCTTTTGTATGGTAATTTTCCAAAAGAAGTAAAATATTGTAAACTAACATTATTTTTTTTGTACATAGAAATGGGGACATGTTTTTAGCTTTTGAAAGAGTGTCGAGGAATTGCTAGAGATAGATATATCTAATCATGCTGGAATGTTTTAGACCTCGTGAAGGTTAATCATGATACACATGCATATCACCCACCCTCTTCATTCTAATACAAATATTAAACTCGAGACCTAACAAGTGAACTTTTAACATTATTGAGAACTTAATAAAATGATATTACTAGAAAACTATCTACCACGAGAATTTAAACCCGGTATAGAATAGAGGTGTGAATTCGAGCAATATCTCTTTCGAAGATGTGTTATTAGTGGTTTTATCAACTTTTCTACCTTATTTGTCTTGGAGAAATACTTGTAAGGATTAGGATGTAGTCTCATATGTTAAAATAAAGTTACGTATTATATTCAAAGTAAAAAAAATGAACTTGCAAACCTATTATGTTTTTTTGTTTTTTATTTTTAAAATTAACCTTATGAAAATTATTTATACCTTTATTCTTTTAGTTTTCTATTTGTTAAAAATAATTTCTAAATATTTGGTAATTTTTAAATTTTTGTTTCTAACTCTTTTAAAATTTTGGTAAAGAGGAGAGTAGTAATAGCATATATAAGCATCACATAAATCTTACTTATTTTTAAATCTTAGTTAGCTAATAAATTATAGATTAAATCTAGGTCGTTCAATCAATTGGACTATAAAATTAAAATAAAACCTACATGCCCATTTCAAATAATTGAAAAATTAAACTATTTCTTATTTTTTTATGGCTTCCTTGTTTTAACTTATTGTTGTGTTGATAATTTTAATCTTTATAACACTAAGATAAATTTTAATTAGTTCCAAGTCCATTTAATATCATCACAACATCAATTAATTAAATTAATTAATTGAGATTAAGTTACAAAAGAAGGAGTGGGTGTAAGCTAGATATATAGGCTAATTTCAGCCTAGCCTATTAGTTAGAAACCTCACAGTTGGGCCTTCCTCTTTGAACAAGAGCCAAGTGTTATGCATGAACTAATCCTAAGGCAAAGGTTGACCTTGTAAAGAAACGAGAGCCATTGAAGATCATTGATAAACTCGAGCGATTCTTCTAAGAGGTACGATTCTCGCGAGCTAACAATACAAGTACAGTATTGCTCGGTGCGAACTAGTGGAGTACTGTAGATGGCTGGAGCACCTCATCTTGTCATTACTTTATCGCTCATTCCCAATAGGTCAAGGATTATTTTAGATTTCAATAATTTTCAATTCTCACTAATTTTTATGTTGTGTTACCCTAGCTGCCATTCTCGTTTCCCACTTTGAATCTTTCTACAGTGTGCTCTATTTACTACTCTTTTGAACTCTTTTCTCTTTACCAATATCACAATTCATTTTATATTCAATTATATCGTTTAAATTACTATCCAAAAATACCACGTTCAACCTTAAGAAAAATATATCAATTAAAGCTACATGCCTTGTTGGGAATATGTCTTTTACACCTCTAGTTGAATTTTACTTAACTTTCACCTCACTTGCCCTCTGACTTATTTATTGCATTAAATAGATAAGTAGATTCCACTKATATTTTTTACCATTAAAAATGAGTTAAATCAAAATTAAAGTTGGTGGGTAGACAAGTAATTTTTTAGGAAAGTTAGTATAAAAAAGTCTACTTTAAGTAATATAATAACAAAATTTTCCCTTTAAAATTGCTTTAAATATTTATAATAGATCTTGGAACTTTTAGAGTTGTGTATATTTAGAAAGAGTTAATAACTCTTTTAACTTGCGCATCTAATATATTCTTATAGTTAATTTTATAATATAATTAGAGTGTCACGTAAGCATTAAGTTAACAAATTTGATGTCAACTTGAACCTAACTTAACTAGTTAATGCATCTATCTCCGACCAAAAGATAATGAGTTCGAATCTCAACCTTTCATAATACTTATATAATAATAATAAAAAAATCCCTTTAAAATTGAATACATCTTATCCAATGTCCATATACCTTAAATGTTTATATAATAGATCTTCGCACTTTGTATATTTAAAAAAAAATACTCTTTAACTTGCAATTTGCGTCTAATATATTCCTATAGTTTTTGCCAATTAGTGTTTACACCACAAAATTTCACTAACTCACTACATAATCCTTAAATAATATAATTAGCCTGTCACATAAGCATTAAGTTAACACATTTGTTATAAAAAAAATTAAAAATAAAAAAAAAGTTAAAAACACATTTGATCACAACATGAATATAGATCAATTGATTAATACATATATATCCGACTAAAAAGTAGCGAGTTAAGTACATAAAAAACTTTTTAAAAGTACATGGAGTTAAATAGAAACACTGACTCTTAAAATAACGAAACTTATAACTAAACAAATAATAGTAATAATGAGATGTGGCCTATTGACATTAAGCCTAACCATTTTACATTCCCAAGAAATTTAGAAAGTTATGAAGGGCAGAAAATTTTCATCTTTTGGAGCATTGAGTAAACAAGAACTGTTTGTACAAAAATGGACACTGTTTTAAGGCACCAATATCAACACTTTATGAAGATGCCCATAGGCTATACCATACCCTCCTTTGTCCATATATTTTTGTATGGCTTTGGCCTTGCAACCTAAGTTCATATCCATCTCTCTTGTCTAAGATCATATAGGAAAAAAAAGTACATTACTTTGGCTTATGAAAAATGTTACGATGGTCGATCTCATTTACGTCGTTGAAAGTCAGTTAGAGTAATGGTATCTATATATGGTTAATTTTTATTTGAATACGTGTAAAATAGATGGAAATTGTCTAAGTGACTTGATTCGTATTGATGCGATGTTTGTCTAATAAATTTTAATAGACAAGTCAACAGAGAGTTACAAAAGTACAGTGAAAAGTAAGTTAAAATGTGATTTATAAAATTGGGTTGTTACTGATTGACAATTGTATCCTACTCGAATTTGGAAACTAGGACTTTGCAATACTTTAGGGCATGCTCATCGTAACAATTGAGTTAACTTTACTTGAACAAATTAAAATATGTCTTAATTGAGTTCTATTGTTTGAACAACATGTCTCCTTAATTATCACATAACAATCTTCCTGGAGTCATATTTCACCCATAAATAAACGACATTACAAATAAATACTGCCATTTTTTCTTATGAAGGGGGTTTCTATTTTTATTATTATTATTATTATTTTACAATTGACTTTAGTTCCCATCATAGATAGACATTAGAACCAACTACTACCAAATCTAAGACCTAAAATAAAAAAATAAGAAAAGATAGAGAGAAAAAAAGTATAATTGCAATAGTAATTAGCTTATAATTAAATCTACTAAAAACTAAAATATACATCGGAAAATGTGCTCCAAACTAAAACTAAAGTTTTAAATGTCAATATTTGTAGAAATATCGGAATTTCAATTTTATAAAAATGTTGATGTAGAAAGATTACAAAAATATTTAAATTAACAATTTATTTGACATTTTAACGTTGGGTGATATTTTGTTGATATTTTGTATATTTTATTAATTTTTTGCGATGAAAATATCAATTTATGGATCATGTATTTGCCTGTCAATTTAACGGCGTCTGTAGAGGGCCCCCGGTAGTTGACAAGCTTAGCATATTTCCAAACGGCCGTTTGCTGTACCTTCCACCCTTTTTTTTTCTTTTTCTTTTCTCTCTTGCTTTTAGTTTTAAGAGTTTCTTTCTTTAATTTATTATCATAAATTCTTAGAAGAACAGCAAAATACTCCTTTTAAATTTAAGCATTATTCTCACTATTAAGCATTATACTCCTTTTAAATTTAACCTTTATTAAGAGACAAAAATTAAAAGTTACAGGCAATTAAAAGTTTAGGAACAGGTTAGATAGTTTTTATAGTGGGGAAGACATATGGTTAAGGATAATGGTACCCTCGTATCTACAAATATCTCCATAACAGTATGATATTGTCCACTTTAGACATAACCCTCAAGACTTTGCTAATGGTACCCTAACTCATGTAGAACTTTGTGTTTATACTCRCTTACAAATGTAACAGCAGCTCTATTTACTACTAGAAGTATCTTTCGATTTTGGAGGGCCATGGAGCCCACTTTTATAAGGCCATAGAGCTAGTTCGCACAAACAACAAAGCCTTCAGACATTTCTTATTAAAATGAAGTTTGTTTAATGATAAATTTTGGTCAATTACTAAATGTCACATCACAAATTTAAAATTATATTTTAGACTAATCTTAAATTTACACATGTTCTAAACTAATTTTGTTTTTTTTCTTCTGCTTGTCTGATGATATCAACTAATTGAATCTACCCATAAGTAGATTGGGTCCAAACTCACTAAGCCCATGGCCCATATAAGACCCATCAAAAGAGATTGGGTCACACCTCGTTTGGGACAATTAGAAGGATTCAGAAGAATTGGACATTCAGAACCATCGGAGAACTTTACCAGCTACAAGTCGAATAACTTCAACAAGCTGTATAGTTTATGAACTTCAACAAATTGAARAACTTTCCAAGCTACAAAACCAAATAACTTCACAAGCTACAAGCTGAARAACTTCAACAAGTTACATAGTTGAAGAACATCAACAAGCCGAAGATCTTCAACAATCTCGAAGCCCAAGACTTTCCAACAAGCGCAAAGGCGAATACTTCAAAGATTCTTCAACAAGCTCAGAGCCAAAGACTTGAATGATTCTTCTCGACAAGCAATAAGGCGAAGGCATCAATCTCATTAATTCAAGAATAAACTCACATGCTCTTAAATTAAAATTTACATTCGAGATAAACATAAGAGGATTATGCATTAGAGATTGTAACACTACATACAGAAATACAACACAAGTACATAAATTCGAGTTTTCTCTTGTCTGGAATCCTTCGTAAACAAAGTTTTTCCTTTTTTCAATGTGAACTATCAGTGAGAAGTGAGAAGAGATCAAGAGAGCAACCAGAGTTCTTCTTTAGGGTGTGTGAGAGATACACCAAAGAAAGTTTAGACAATCATCCCATTGTAAGTATAGAAGCTGTCGTTGCAAAAAATGAGAGAGATCTCTTMAGAATGAATAAACCAYCATTCAACCCAAAAGCTTAAGYTAATGGRTTGGGTAAATTTAATTCATTTATATGGATTCTAACAAGATCTCATTATAATCTTCACATAATAGTAGAACTTATCGATTCTTCGTCTTTCCTGCTTTGTCCWGTGGTAGGGAAATTGGTTAGGTATAGTATCATAGCTTGGTTGTTCCTTATTAAGAAAGCCAAAAAGTAAAGGGATAATATAATGGTAGAGTATAAGAGAATAACCAAAAGCAAAACTCAGCAACAACGAGAAGAAAAAGGCAAAAAAAAAAAAAAAAAGTAGAATTGTAAGCTACGCCAAAACCCAACTCCCCACGAAAATTCAATCACCCTCAGTTTTCTTCATAACCAAACCTTAAACTGAAACTGAAAGCTCCTCTCCATCTTCTTCCAACTAAACTTTTTTCTTTCAAATTTTTCAAATAAAACCTCTCGATGGCCACCATCCAAAATTTGTTCCAATAATTTCATGGCTCCTCCTCCTCCACACTCTCCCTCCCAATTTGTAAGTAATTTCCCTTTCTCCTAATTATTTTCATCACTTTTTTTTCCCTTGTAAATTTTTTTATATCATTAACCCACCCTTTGTTGGTTTYTGATGTGATTTGAAATTCGAGAAATCATTTTAGTCCTCGCTACAAAAAGTTCAGGTTTTTTTCCTGACGCTAGAAAATTAAAAAGCATGGGTATATATTTCCGACGAAATACTCATGGGGAATACTTCCAATGATTTTTTATTTTTGTTGGGAATTAGCCAGAGAGATTCGGTAATAGAAAATGAAAATATCAGTTATCTTAAAATTCTTGTAAAATCTATTCTTTTTAGGGGAAAAAAAACATCACGATTCATTCAAATTCATGTAAGAAATAAAGGACTTTTTTTTAAATAGTTGAAACGCTCAAAATCATGGACAAACAAACGGATCACCGGTGAGTTTTGATTTTTTTTTATTTTTTTAATTAAATCTTCCATGTAAAAGCATATTTTTAAGTTGTTATTATTATTATTTCTAGATTTCTTAAAATATTTAATATTGAAAATTTTAAAAACTTGGTTAAAAACACTCATTAAAATTTTAATCATACATTWATTACCATTTAAATAGAAACCCTTTTAATCATCTACAAATACTCTTTAATAAGGCACACACTAAATAACTTGATTAAATACTTTTGTTAAATATCCACATCCATATGACATTTCATAATTTTATTCACTCATGAGGTTTATTTGGAAACAATCAAAAGTTGAAGGATTATTTCCAATATATATATGATTATAAATTTACCAAGTCCCATCACCTTAATTTTAAATTTATTAATTATTTATTAAAGTGATGGGATAATTTATTAATTATAAATTCATGGAGTATATATAAGTTGCTCTTTGATATATTATTAAAGGAATAATATTAAATTTACCTTTTTTTTTCTTTGATGTCATGTAATGTGTAGCTGAAGAAAAAGCTTAGTGGGCAGAGAAAGAGGGAGGAGCTTGAAAGAGAGGTTTGTTTGCATTTTGCTGTCAAAAGTTTTTTTTTTCTCCCTAAATATATGTTTCAGTTGAATTTTTTCTTTTTAATTTAGTTTCTAATGTTAAAAATTTTCAATTTAGTCTTTTATATCTTAACATTTTTAATTATTCGCTCATTATTAAAATTGATTGATGATAAATTTGTATAACATGCTACTTCTAGRACCGACAGAAATTTAGATGATGAATTATGATACCTAARAGTTTGAAATTTGGAGGAGAAATATAATTAAAAACTTTCGTCTCTTGATTGGCTAATTTTTGTTTATAAATGTTGGCTAAAAATTGCTTTTAACATAAGGCACTGAATTGAAAAATACTCCAATATTAAAAACTAAAAATATAGTAATTATTTTTGTTTTGATTTTGGTGAATTTTTGGAAATTAATGATAAATATTTTGAAACACTAGCCAAGCCATAGGGGATGGGATTAATAGTACCTTCTGAGTCTATGGCTGTTGAGTTCTATTCATGGGAGAGGACATCCATGGGCATGGATGGGCAAGTTTATTTGTTTTATTTTTTATTTTTGAAACAATAATTTACTTGTTTTTAGGCCATTTTATATCACTTTTTTTTTATTACAATAAAAAAAATTTGTTTTTAAAAAATAAGGTTGTCAAATAATAATTTGCTTGTTTTCTTGAGTATTCTCTAAAGACACTTTTCAAAAGACAAAATAAAAATATTTTTGATATATATATGAGTTTCCTCTCATTTTCCTTTTTTTTTTTTTTTTAATTAAACTACTTAACTATTAATAGTCAATTCTTCCCATTWTTGTTGTATTGGGCAAATTTGGTGACATCATCTCTTCAATAGCAATTTTACAAAGGCTTTTAGCAATTGGGAATTTTGAATTATTGTTACCTTTGCTTCAAAGTTGAGAGCTATTTTTCTGTTGTTGCTGTTATCCCTTTATAATCAAAATTAAACTTAAATCAAACCCTTCTCTCTCTCTTAAATCTCTAAATAAAACAAAAACACTACAAACTTGATTACTTGCAATAATGAAAAATATTTGTAAATATAATGTTTTCGACATAAGAAGAATAAATGTGAAGTTTTCAATAACTCAAACTTTTGATAATAGCTATCAATATGTTAGTTAATACTGCTACAAAAGTCAGGTGAGCATAACTTAATTATTTAATCAAAACATTATTTATCTCTCTGAAAGTTGGAGGTTCGAATCTCCGCACTTCTTGTACTCTAAAAAAATAAACTATAACAATAGTCACTTATTAACCTTGATTTGTTTTTTTGACTCATAGGAATCATTGACAAACGTATATTTTACTTTTTGTTATATTTATAAAGTTTAAATCTTGTTTTGATGGCTAAAAAATATCACTTTGAAACTTTACATTTATTCCATTTGGATTTATGATATTTCAAAATTTCTATTCTAATCTTTAAATAAAAATAAATAAATAAAAAACAATCATCTTGGTCTCTAAAACTTGTAATTAAGAAAAATCATCTTTGTACTTRGCTATTAATTTGCCAACCAACTTAATTWTATAGTTTTTTTACCTGCTCAAATTAGCACCAATATTGGAAGTTACATTATCTCTTTCTTAAATAATTATTAACAAAAATTAAAATGATTATTTTTTTTCAGTTCAATAATTCAAGTAGATATTTTAAAAGTTGATAAAATAAAATAAACTTAAAAAATTTAAAGATGAAAAATATATATTTTAAAATTTTTAAAAACCAAAATAAAAATAACATAACAKTGGAGGATCAAAATAAGATTTAATCTTATTTACAATTTTTTTTGGAATATTTAACAAAACCTATCATCTCTCTTTGGGAGAACATACCACCTAAAATATTAAATTTCACCAGCCAAAAAATTAAAGTTCTATTATTTTTAAAATATTTTGATTTTCTTTTTTAGGTATTGATGCTTCAGAAGCTGCTTAATCAAGAAGAAAAGGTGCATGAGATTTTAGAAGGTGTTAATAAACAGCAAAATGGTTCAGCACTTGCCATTTCTAACTTGCTTCCTCCCAAGGTATATACAACAAAATAATCCTACTTTTTTTTGTTACTATTTTATATATTTGTAATGTGTATTTTTGAATTGTTATTAAAAAAAAAGATTATACATTATAGTAACTAGTATAAATATATATTCGCCTTTCAAGTCGTAAAAGTTGAAATTTGAGATTACACGTCCACGATCCCATTTGATGGCTTATTCATTACTCCTGGTTATGTGTTATCTTTGTTTTGTCATCTACTCTTTACMGACATTTTTTTCCAAAATTTAAGGCAAATTTTAAAAACTAAAACGAGTAGTTTTTATGAAAACTTATTTTTGTTTTTAAATTTCACTTAGAGCTCAAATTTATATTTTCTTAAAAAAAAAGTGAAAATATACCAAGAAATTATGAAAAATCAAAGYATAGTTTTTAAAAACTTGAAAAACTAAAATGACATCGTTATCAAACGGGCCTACATTATAAGAGCAACTTGAAAGTGTCAGCTTGATTTTTTAGATATTAGTGAATATATTCACTTATCAAAATAAGTATAAATATCACTTTTTTTGGGGAAATTTTTTAAATATAGATATACCCAACAATGAATATGGTCAAGGCATTTACTTCTTTTMTAGAGATTGGAAGTTCTTGGATAAATAATTTTAATGATACGGTAATCCATATGTTTTTATTGTAGGTATAATCGTTAATTAAAATATAGTTAATCTAGATATTAATGTGATATAATCTTGAAATCATTAATTAATTTAGGTAGTAATTAACAATAATCATAATAATAACCCATTTAACTTGTGTTCTACTTTTTGTTATATCTACAATCGTTTTAGTTGTCAAGTTTGTAAAATTATTTTCCAATTAACCTTTTCAATAATCCTTAAACATATGAAGGTTAATTATTTCCTTTATTTTTAAAATTTTTAAAACACTAGATTTTTTATACTGTATTTAATACTATTATGATATTCAGTTTTTTTTAAACAAGGTTGTTCAATCATTATTTCCTTGTTATATTTTTCTTTTACATTTTTTAAATATTGGCCAAATTAAAAAATAAATAAACATGTGATTTTAAAAAACTTATTTTCGATTTAAAAAACTTTGGCTACAAGTGAAAAAAAAAGCGTTGACCACTTAAACTATGCTCACAGYAGTATTATTTTGATTTTATCGAGACRTCTTTAGTCAATAGGAAAGAGTTCAAAATATAAATTTGATCYAATCTAGAATGTAGTGTGATTTTTCAATTTTTATGCATCAATTATGATTAAATATAACTAATAAAAATTTAATTTTGAACTAAAATATTTTTTTAGCAGAATTAATTAAGAAAGGGAAAAAAAAGACTTGAAAGTCTAAATTGAAATAATTTTAGGATAAAAATAGGAATTAAACAATTTCAAAAAATAATTGTACTAAAAAATATCATTTAAACCATTTCAAAAAATAATTGTACTGAAAAATATCATGTAAATAAATTTGTGGTGTCAGATAAAGATAATGTGGGTGGTTTTTCTGAGACTTCTGACATGCTGTTTATGGTCTCTTTTATTTTTCCTTAAAATTATGAAATTAAATGCATTAATTAATGATTCAAAATTTTGAAAAAGAAAAAGAAAGAAGTTGATAAGATGGGACATGTTTCATAGTTCTGTTACAACTTCTGCTTTGTCTCCCTCTCTAAAGACCACATGTTGTGATGCCAACTTTGCTCTTCTTGTTTTGTGGCCAAATTACATTTCTAAGACAAATTCATGCCTTTTTTTTTCCCTTTCTTGGTTACAATCCCTTGGGTCTATTTGGAAACTTAATGAAATCYGTTATTTGGTACTTAATTAAGATTTTGAATGATTTGAGATCTTACTTGACTCCAAATAGTGTTTTTACTTCAAAAAAATTCTTAATCAAAATGGTCGGATTTYATAGAATTTCAAAGTAAATTACYTATTTAACATTGATATATTTTAATTTATATTTAGAACCTAAACCAGTAAACTTTTTATTTTCTTTTCCTTTTTTAGGAATATCCAAACAAACAACTTTAATTATATTTCAAACAATATAAAGAATTTTAAATAATTCTTTGAACTTTGATGACGACTTGAGGGAAAAGTATTCGGTAAGAAAAATAAACAAACAAAAATTTGCTTCAAAAACTCATTTTTATATTGCATAATTTCAGGCACTTTTTTAGATGCTAATTCTTGTGATTGAAAGTTAACTATGATAGTGTGATTGGTTTAGAGGGGTCAAGGTAAATCAAAAGAATTTTGAGGAAATAGGTTCAAAGTGACTTTCTACTTGGGAATTGATTTCATATGTTTTTTCTTGACAACCAAATATAGTAGAGTCAGATGATTCTCCCATGATATTAGTCGAGGTGTGCTCAAGCTGTCCCAGACACTCACATGAGTGATAGAAAGTTGCATCCCCTTGAATTAGTCTTTTTAGGTGAAGAAGTTGTTTAATTTGATGCCACAAATATATATATATATATATAACCATTAGAAAATATTTAGGTTTAATTTTTTATTTTGATKTTAAACTTTTAATATTATTTTATTTTACCCCCKAACTTTAAAAAGTCAAGTTTAGCCTAGATTTTCAGGTTTATTATATTTTRAAGAGACGATGATGATAAAYATTTTAAAAGTTCAGAGAYCAAAATAGAATAAATTAACTAAAAGCTGAAGGACCACGACGGGATTTAAATTTTGGAGAAAGAATTAGAATGTGAAGTTKTGTGAAAATATGCAGGTGAAGGAAGTACTAGCAGAGCTAGCAATGGTGGAGAGTGAAATAGCAAGGCTTGAGCTCCAAATAACACAACTCCAAAAGGACTTGAAAACTGAGCAACAACAAAATTCCAAGTCCAATRATAAAGCAACTAGTTTTGACACCAAGGCTCTCCATTTCATTAGCAAGGCCATCAAGGGAGATTATTATGCTCTCAACAACAACAATGCTCAACATCACATCACTCATCCTCAGCCTCTTCATCAGGTCCAAGAAAGACTGGTTTCCCGAAAGAGCGGCCTCCTCGTAGCTTCGTCTCCGTTGCGAGACCCCCGACATCCTTCTCCAAAGGTACAAACGCATACATACATGTCGTATTTTGTTTTGAAGGTCAGAGACCCGAATGCTATAGCTAGTCTTCACGAACGCTCTAGTAGCTTAAGTTGATAGATTATAACATATTTAATATATATCTGTRATCGTGTGAAAATTCACTTGTTTTTTAGCAACGAGAGCGGAATCCATTAGACATGGCGGGGTTAAAATCGGTCCCAATAGCAATTCAAGCAGAAGAAAACATGCAGCATTGGCAACCCAACAAGCTATCAGAGAGCATAATGAAGTGCTTAAACTTCATATATGTGAGACTACTAAGAACCTCAAGAACAATGGAGCTAGAGAAGTCAGGTCCCATTTCAAGATCTTTGCATTCCTCCCTGAGCTCGAGAAGCTTCCGAGTCGAGAACAACGGCCTGAACTCGAGTCTTCCGCTACACAAAGAATCGAGGCAACAAGATCCTTACGCCATCTTCGACAACGAAGAGTCGATCCCGAGGGACATTGGCCCTTACAAAAACTTGGTTATATTCACATCAACTTCCATGGACCCCAAATCCATATCAAGTCCAAGCTTCATCCCTCTCATAAGAAAGCTAAGGTATTTTATTTATTTAGTTTTAAGCCCTCCGCGTTTGGTGAATCAAATTAATATCCGAACCGAGCCGTGTTCTGAAAAAATTCTGCCCTTTTGTGGAATTTTGGTAAATGCAGGGCCCTGATGAGCAATTTGCAAAGAGTTGATTTAAGGCCATTGAGTTACCAACAGAAACTAGCATTTTGGATCAACATGTACAATGCTTGTATCATGCATGTAAATTTTGTGGAAAAAAAACACCATTTTTTTTATTTCAATTTCAACTTCATTTAATTTGAGGCCTTTGCTAAGAAAATTTTCCTTTTATTTTCAGGGATTTCTTCAATATGGAGTGCCTTCATCCCCAGAAAAACTTGCTGCTTTGATGAACAAGGCAAGTAAATCAGATAAATCAAAGCCCTTTTTATCTCCAAATTCAAAGTATATATATATATATATTTTTTTTTTGTGAGTCGAACTCCAAATTTTATTCGGGTAAACACACTTTTGTTTTTTTTGTTCTTGAATTTCCTGAGTTTGAAGATAGGTTTCTATTTGGTCCTTAAATTTTAAAAAGTGACACTAACTAATGTTTGACTCCAGGAACCTTTTAGAATTATTTTTGAAGGTCGGGGACCAAACTATCGCTTTTTCAAATTTAGTGACCAAATAGAAAATCCAGCTTAAAATACAGGACCGGAAATGTATTTTACCTTTTTTGTTTTAATACATTCTTGAATTTTTTTAAATTATATTTATCAATTAGTCCCTATATTTTTAAAAAATTCTAACATGCCATGTAGGTATGTATTCTAATAGGGATCTATGTTGTTTAAACTCTGTCAATTTTTTACTTACATAACATGTTGATTGCATTGTTTAAAAATTATGTAATGGGTTGACTTGGGGCAAGTTCAATCATAAAATTTATGAGCATATTAGAATCTTTTTTTAGTTCGTTCAATCTTAGAATAAGTAATAATTATAAGTGTCTTTATCCATAAAGTTATGCTCTAAACGGGTAATCTTAATTATATACAAAGTTAAAAATTTATGAGCATATTAGTCTAATACATGTTTAATGTTAATTATTTTGGATTCAGGCAACGGTTAACATTGGAGGCAACTCCATAAACGCACCAGCCATAGAGCATTACATTCTAAAGAAACCAGGGTCTCCTAACAGGGAGGTAATTAAATGCGCATAATTTTGGTTAAAATATCATTTCAAAGAGGTCATGAATTCAATTTTCCACCTCACATGTTGTACCAAAAAAATAGTCTTTATTGTTAATTTTGGTTAGTTCATATGATTAGGCAAAAAGAAAAAATAATAACTTCCATTCTAAAAAAAGGCACCAATGTRGATATGTTTGTTATTTTTTTTATATGAAAGACTTAAAATGATTAAATTAATTTCTAATTGAAACTAAGACTATTTTTAAGATTTATTGAAAGCATTTAAAAATACAAATATTAAAAAATATAATAAATCTAAAAGTAGAAGAAGCAAAATGATATTTTGACCCAAAATTTTTGTCTCGCAATTTCATGTTTAAATTATATTTTAGTCTCTGAATTTAAAAAAAAATATTTTAAATCTTAAATATCTAGAATGACTATTTTAATTTGAACCTGAATTTTTACCAATTTTGCTTTTAGTTTTATGTTTTTAAAAATTATGATTATTCTTAGTAATTTTTTTTAACTTTTCCTAAAAGCACATGTTTTTAACCCAATTTAAAAAGCAAAAAGGAGTTTTATAACTATTTTTTTAAGTTTTCAAATTTTGGTAGATCGATAATAATTTTGAGGGGTAGAAAACCAAAACCAAAATGATTATTAAACTATCTTTTTTGTTTTAAACAAATTAATAAACTAACTTCAATAATGTGTATTATTAAACCGTTAGACAAAAGTGAGAATTGGATGATTGAATATTAAATAGCAAAATAATAACAACAACAAAAACGATTATTCTTTAAARAAAAAGATTTCAAATTCCAAAATAGAAAAAAGGTTGAACTAAAACCCAATTTAAACCTTCATCTTTTTTTTCCTTTAATGAAATTTCCATACTAATTAAAAAGTTCAAATGGTTTTTTTTTTTAWTTKGWAWTTTKGGKGGTTGTGAAAAAGGATGAGGAGAAAGAAAGGGTGGTTGGGAAGCTGTACGGGCTAGAATCGTGGGAGGCGAACGCGACATTCGGGCTGTGCTGCGGGACCCGTTCTTCTCCGGCGGTGAGAATATACAGCGGCGAGGCGGTGGCGGCGGAGCTGGAGAGATCGAAGCTGGAGTATCTGCAGGCCTCGGTGGTGGTGACCAGCTCCAGAAGGGTGGCAGTGCCGGAGCTTCTGGTCCGGAGTCTGCCGGAGTTCACGACAACGGCGGCGGCGGCGGCGGAGTGGGTGTGCCACCAGCTGCCGACCTCCGGGAGTCTGAGGAAATCCATGGTTGAGTGCTTCAGATCAGGCCATCCCCCCACCATCCACACTCTCCCTTATGATTTCGAGTTTCAATATCTCTTGCCTTTGTGATTTATCATTCCTCTTTTTTTTTTTTTTAATTTCTTGTTTGATATATTGGTTTGTAAAAATTAATAATGTAATGTAGAAGAYGAGGGATCGTATGGAGTAGTGTTTTCAACATCATTTTGAAGTAAATTTTGCTTCTCTTYTCGTTTGGAGTATTGCGATTTAAATTAGCTACGTGGGGTTCGAAGTTCTAAGTTGGCAGCTTTCTACGAGCTTTTTAGTACAATAACATGTATTTCATTGAGGATACAATATGTCTTGATTGACTACTGTTGGCGTATAATTTGATTGGTTGATTTKTAAAGGCTAATGTTAATAAATTACATAAATTTAGTTTCTAAGGGATCGTTTGGTAACGTTTCTATTTCTTGTTCYCATTTCTTCATTTTTAATAAAAAAAATGAATTGCATGCCTCCAACATCCATGAATTCATGTATGATAAAACCATYTTTTTAGTTATATTTTGAAACAAAGTGGAAATAGGAACAAGAAAGAAGAAACTTGTTTTGATTGTTTCCAAAATTTCTATATAATTGTGAGAATGTTCCTAGATAAGGAGAAACAACAAATAAAGTTAGTTGCAAAATATGTAGATTTCTAAAGAAAATTAGAAACGAGAAATAAGAAACGGGAACGTTACTAAACGAGCCCTAAGTATGTTGGGTTGTATGTGAACTAAATCTTCTAGTTTCGAGAGTTCTTGCTAGTCGGTATTTTGCTAATTCCAATTAAGGCGTTTTAAGGATAATCGGATTCCTCGAAGAATCAACATTCAAACCTTTTTCTTACTTGGGGACTAATCGGGAGGCTCTATGTTAGTTGAGTTGAGTTCCCATTGTGGTTGAGTGTTTTAATAACTAAATTTTAGTCTTTGTTTGTAGCCCACGTGGCACCTATTTCGGTTTAGTAAAGTTCGGTTTTGAAGTTTAAACAAAATAACAATAAATAAGTACTTGAAATTTAAAAATGTCTAATATTATTAATATCGATTTCATCTCAAAATTAATTGGCAATGAGAGAAACAAAATTCATGCTATTATAAACTTTTGTAAGATTCTTTTTTTCAATATGGGATCCTTAACATGYTCGATCGTGGCTCTTTTAGCTCATCGATCTTAACTGAATCTCATTTAATTTTTTGGACCGAATGTTTGTTTTAACTTCTTAGACTCTCATGCCATAAACAAAATAACCTAAAAACTAATTTAATTAAACTTTCAATTTTGTCTCCATTAAAACTTTAGTTATATAAATTAGTTAYGATTTACTTAATTGGTTTCAGTAAAACTGTTGTATTAGTTAGGCCCTTTKTTATAAATACTTTAAAAGTGTATTATTTCTAAATTTCTTCCAGTTAACATAGTATCAGAGTAAGAGGGTATTAATTAAGATATTCATATATGAATTAAATTTATCCAACCAGTTTTTTGGTTGAGTGATGGACAGAAATAACAAGATGTTTTAATCAATGAATTATGGTCGAATTGTATGTTTGGTTTTTTAAGTTCAAATATATACAATAATGCTTTTGTATCTTTTAGAACGAAAATATAAAATAAGAAACAAAACTCTTTTGGCTCAAATTTTGTATACAATTATGAGAACAATTGCAAATAACGACTTCAATCATGACCAACTTCCTTAATACATGACAAGTGAGTATGTACAAAGCCTAKAAATATATCTCAACGATTTTGATATCATGTAGTTGAGTTGTAGTCTACAATCTAATTTAACGACGAGTTAGTTCATCCTTGTAGATTCACAATCCTTTGTTGCATCAATTACAGGAGTTATCAAATATTCAAAAATGAAACAATATTACTAAATACATGTATTTCTAGAAAAATCTAAAAGCAATAAAGAAGAGGTTTTTTATTTTTTTAATATTACTAATTTTCCAACTTGGTTTAAAAATATTTCATATTTAAATCTTATTCAAAAAATAATGTATGTCGTGTCTTCAAAAGACAATTTATGTACCTGGCAAATTATCCGACCATGTTAATCTGCAAAATCTTTTTTTTCTCTCTCTTATGTCCCGTATTAACGGCACTGGACAGTCTTCCGAGATTTTATAATCAGATAAATAAATCAAACAAAATCTTTAAATTTTAAAACAAAATCTAACTTTAAAAATTATATAAAAATTAAATATATTTTTTAATTTAATTTATTTTTGGGTTAGATTTAAATTCAAATCCRTATCCAAATGGTGCCTTAGATTCTTGGCTCCCTTGTGGCGCGACATTCTCTACAATTCAATTAAGCCAGAATCATCGGTCTCTGACTAGCCAATCACTCACTCGAACCCATTCCCCCACCTCACCAACCTCTCCTTCCTCCGTTGCCTCGAGATAGAGTGCAACAACTACTTCGGCACAGTTTCGACGGAGATTCATCATATTTTCCACTTACAATTTCTGACTTTGAGTTTCAGCCACCTTCATATAACTATATTCCCCCATCTTTTAGTCATTTTTCACTGCTTTGTTCCATTAATATTGAACAAATTTCAAAGTACATTTCATCTGAATTGGGATCAAAGAAGAATGGTGAACAGAGGGAGAAACTTGTTGACTTATTGAAACGGTTTATTCTCTCTTTGATGGCAAACTCTAGGAGTGTACATTGGAGGATGGAAAACCGATATGACCGACCAAAACCAACCGAACCAAAGTTGATGGTCAGTTTGGGCAAATCCTAAACTGTCGGTCTCCCAGCCGCCGCCACCTCATTTTTAATTAGCATGGATCAATTAAATTAAAAATATTCTTCATTTTCATTTAATTTTTTAAGTTAGATTTAGTTTAAACTTTAAATATTTAATTAGTAGTTTTTTTCTATTAGTTGCGATGCGAACAKGCGTTTACTTATTAGATTTGTTGAGTGACCAATGTCTGAGTTGGAGGAAGCTCCAACGGACTAACAAGCGAGGAACGACTAGAAAAGTGCTTGCGTTAAGGAAGAGTTTTTTTTTTTCTTTTTTCAAAATTCTCTCGTGAGCAGCTTTGTTGAACTCCTTCGTCTGTGTTAAAATGGAAAAGTACTTACTGTTCGTTGGTTATTAGGGGTGAGTCTGCATTGGGGAGAAGGACATTGAGATTGGCTGTCTAGCTATGACTAAAAAACCTACTTGTGRCAAAAGAGAAGTCATACAAAGAAAGGTTCTTTCATGCAATGCATAACAGACGGGCCTCCTATGAATTTARATCATTTTTCAAAAAATTGATTTGTTTTAAGATTTTGTTAGATTTGTTTATTTTAAAACAGGTCGTTAGATATTTTTGTATTAGATTTAGTTTAAAAGTTTTGTTAAAAAAAATGGAGGACTGGCAGGTGCGTCCATAAAGGAGATATGAGATTGATTAAAAAATAATAATTATTATTTAATTAAACAAGTAAAGACCGACATAGTGGCCACCCATTTACAAAACACCCCTTATTTTTTTTAATAAGTTTCAAATATGAAATATTTTTAAATAAATTTTAAAATTAGTAATATTTTTTTAAAAAATGTCAAGCGCAAACTTTTGGGCCAATTTAATGATGTTTTTTTTATTCTTGTTTCCCATTTTTAGAAATATTTMTAAAATTGTGTAGAAATTTTGAAAACAATTTCAAGTTTTTGTGGTTGTTTTTCCGGTTTTCTCAAAACATTAGTAAAAGCATTATTTTATCAATTTTATTATTTTTTAATTAAAATTTTTAGAAAATAAAAAATAAGAAATGATTATATGTATTTTTTTCAATAAAGAAAAAGAAAGATAAATAATAAATAGTTGTCTGATACAATTATATTCTAATTTATTAGAAATAAAAACTAAAAACTAAAAAATTACTGAAAGAGTCCAATGACAAATACCTTTTAAGAGTCGAYAGGATTAGATATCTTGTTCTATACACAAACCTTCAAACAAATAAATAATACAAAGTTTTGTTTTTCTTAAYTTCCCATATTTGTGTTCATCTCCATCCCTTTTAAATTCAACACTAAACGAGAGGACAATTTATTTTCTGAGAGAAATAATTCGTTTTCTTCTTCTCTCTTATTATAAAGAGCTCAAGGAACAAACAATAAAAGTTAAAAAAGAGATTAAGAAAAATGATAATATTATTAATATACATCAGGTTCAATCTCAAAATTAATTCACGAGGAGAGAAATAATCTACTTATATATATACTTTTTTGATATTCGTGAGTGTGTAGGTCAGTTTACGTGCACCTCGACTAATCTCACAGGACAATCGCTTGACCCTACAACATGTGGTGCCGGAAAACAAAGATGAATTACTAATAATCTACTTATATATTATAAACATTTGTTAAGTCTTTATCTTCAATGTAAATCTTTAACATGCCTCTTAAGATGGTGCCTCTTTTGGGTTACGTTCATCAATTTTGGTTGGATCTCACTTTTGGACCAAATGTTCGTTTGGATTTTTGGAYTCTAATACCATATTAATATTCATGARGTTYTATCTCAAGACGTAGAATACCACGAATATTAATAAATATGACGAAAAATATAATCATTTGTTACGRTTGATGTGTTTTTTCTAATAAGTTTCTTTTTCTTTTTYTTGATACTCGAAACATCATCATTTTTAAAAATATATCTTAGAATAAATCATTTCAAAACTAAACARAATTACACTGAGTCTTGAAAATTTAAAAACTGTCCAACCAAAGTCGAGTGATTTTGGTGGATTTGAGGTTACTTAAAAAGTGGAAATACATGATAGTTTGTAAATTATTGGTTAAAAAAGGTTTATTTATAGTTTCRTAATTGGTAATATCTTTGTAAGGTTATTTTAAAAAAGAAAAAGAAATCAAACACAATATTTTATAAAATGGAAAGTTTTACCCCCTATATGTAAAAATCATGTTGAAAAGAAATATATAAAAATAATTTAAACTCTATATTTGGTCCTAYCGATATAATTATTTTTAATGAATAATTTTATAAATAGGATTGAATATTCAAACTTCTAAACTATGATAAAGTTAGCCTATAAGAYGAGAAGAACTAAAATCTATTAGTAATATATGAATAATAATATGTGTTAGATATCTAAATAAAACAAGACAATATTTTTACCATAAATATTTAACATAAAATATTGAGCTATTTAGATAAATAGCGTAAAAAATGCATTTTCAAATATAATAAGAAAGTTTAAAATTTTACAAAAACAACCTGATGAAAGTTAAACTTAAATGTGATGTAAAATAATCTAAAAATGTCAAACTTATTATATATTTGAAATAAAACGAAAAAGTTGTATCATTTTTTCAAAATTACATATTATATTTGTGAATTTCTCGGATTTTTTAATATTAAAAAATTAATTATTTAAATATACTTATTTACAAATTACTTTTAWAAATATTGCAATTTAAAAGTCTCTGATGRCATGCCTCTCCAACTATTCCGTTTAACATAATGTTAATAAAATCTAATTATTAAAATGAAAAATTATCTAAATTAAATCTAGTTTTGAAAATTTATGAAAGATTAAATATAGTTTCTAAATTGTAAGACTATTTATTTTTAAAATTATGTAAGAAATTGTTTGAAATGAAATGAGAAAGGTAAGTCCAAAATTTTAAACATCTATCTAAATGTAAAGGTCTCAATTTCATGGAAACATCGATAAAAATATATYGCTAAAATGATAGCTATTTCTATAAATTTATCAAAATAAAAAAATTCATAAAAACTATTTAAATTAACAAATAATTATTTCTTCATTTCTAAATAAGTTAAGATAAATGTTTATCATTTTTAAATAACTTAAAAATAATTGATATTAATATCATGTCTATATTATTGAGATTTTGTTGATCTTTTGTAATTTTATAGAAATGTTGATTTACCTTTCATGTCGATATCATACCTGTAGATACATGGAATCGTCGATGGAAATGTAGAAATATCGACGAATATTTAATACCATAAAGACAACAAAGAAAAAAAATTCAGATCATACTAGATTCGAGGTATGTTATTTAAGATAAAACAATTGAAAATTTTAGCTAACTTAAACACATCTCACCTRATTAAAGTACCTATCTCCTACGGTCATGAGTTTAAATCTCCACCCAATGTGTTTTTGCTTTCTTCAACGTGTCTCATAGGACGATAAAGTCCTTAAACTTTCAATTTTATATTAAATAAACCTTTGAATTTAAATTAAAATTTAGAGACCTATTAAAAGCTTCTAACAAAATTAAAAAATATATATTAGAAACGACGRTTGTTTTCCTCCCAAAGATAGGTTCTTACGCATAACTCACCTGTTCATCACTTTGGAAACATCACTTCCTATCTGACTTGACATGCTTATGCGTTAAGCATGTCGCTAGCGTTCGTCATGATCAAACTTCCATTAGACGACTCATAGTTGCCTTACTTATACTCTTCATTGTTCATAAACAAAGCTAATTCAAAATTATTTTTCATTTCTATGCATAACTTGTACCATGTGCTTCATATTCGTACSGAGTTCCCTCCTATAAATATATACAAATTTTTAAAATTCAAATGCTTATTATTAAATATAATATTAAAAATTTAAAGGTTTGTTAAAGTTTTTTCAGAGTTCAATAGCTTATCTGACATAATTTTAAAAGTTTTCTAACGGCAATTTAACSTAGAAAATAAATTAAAATTAAGAGACAAAATCTAAATTCAAAAAAATTGAGAAAAAAAAAGGAGGAGAAAAGGAATGATTACAAAATCTAAATAAAAATTTGACTGATGAGAGAGAATGGAGGCAGAAGAACTAGAGTTGAATGGCCGGCGCGTGAGAAAGTAGAGCGCGTGTGGAAGCTCAGCCTTCTTTTCTTTCACGCTTTACGAGTCAAAATGGACTCGTGAAGGACCGTATTGCATTGTTAAGGCGGCAAATGACGATGATTTGTCGCTTACCCCTCCACGGACTTCACTCTCCTCATTCAAATCCAATTCCCAAACCCATTTCAAATCCGTCACCTAAAAGTTCACCGCTTTGCTCACTGGTTCCCTCACTTGTTTTTCCCTCCTTTCGTCTTCCTCTCAGCAAAATCCTCTCCGCTCTTCCCTTTTCAGTTTTGGGTCTTCCCGATTTTCTCTGTTGGACATTGCAATGTGGTGGATTTTTGCCTCTGTTCTCTGAAATTTTGAGCTTCTTGCCCCGGACATGGATTTCTAGCCTTGGGTTGTTTCACAGCTCCAGCTTCGGTACTTCCCTTTTGAGCTTTTCTCGATTTCTTCTTTTACCCTTTTCTGGGTTTTCTTAGTTTTTGTGATTTCGTACTTATTTTCTGTTTATTTTCACTTTTTGTTTGCTGGGTGCTTATCTTCCTTGTCGAACACTTGATGAATTTGTCGTGGTTGCTTATTTTGTCTGGTGGGTCAGTGCTGGTTTAAGCTTTAGCTGCATGGAAGTTTTTGATTGATTTTGTGTGGTTCTCTGACTGTTGGAGTGGATGAGGTTCACCTGGGACTGCTTTTGATAAGGATCGGAGTGAAAGTTTTTGGTTCTTAATTCATTTGCATTCACTCGTGTCGGTTGTGTTTTATGCAAATTGGTTGTTTTGTTAGATGGGGAATTGGAATTTTGTGCGTGTGTGTGTGTTTTTGACGGATGTCTAAGTACACTTCAAACTTGAAACATGGTTTATCTTCTTCATTTACAGGCTTAGCATTGCCTTGAAGGAACGGTTCGGGTTGTAATTCACTACGCAATGAATGCGGCATCCAAGGAAACTATGATGACTTCCAATCAGACTACGAAAATGTTTACTTATGAGTTTCCTGATGTATGCATGATTTACACCTAGTGGATGTGAATAGTTCATTAGTTCATAATTGTAGCATTTTGTGTTGATTGGTGGGGCATTCATGACTTCATTATTCTAGTTTCTTTGTTTGCATTTTTAATATACCATTCAAAATATTGGAAATTTAGTAGTACTTCTAGCTTGCAAGAAGGGAATTGAGACTGAGTGAAGTCTTTCCAGTTTTCTATCTCTTGATTATATCTTCTAGTGGAAGCATTATCAATGGGGGCAAGATTTTAGAATGATTTTCTGCTTTGGAACGATTTTGAACAAGTGTTACCACCTCATTCCCCTTCCCCTTGTGGGGTACAGTACTGCCATGTTGCATCTATCTAGTTTAGGTTAAACTTGTTAGTTATCACTTGGATTCAGTGTTATTTTTCCCCAATGTCTGTTATAAATGTTGTTAATGAGAGATGCATCGTGCATGACAAAATTAAGGAGAAAAGAAGTCTCCAAAAGTATTTTGTGTTAATTTACAATACAATCATGATTATTTATCTCCTGACAGTTGAACACTACAATATACGGTAGGAAAATATTATAAATCTAATAGTAAATAGAAGGGCTTCAGCTTTCTCAATATTGATATTAATTTACTTTTTGATCTTTTATCTTCTTGTAATTTTGTTTTCCCCCGAGAATTTRATGGCTGGTTCTGGTTCCTGTTATTCTGTTGACAACCTCTTTTTTTCCCTCTAGGTTGACTCGGATTTATCTATTTTCCCTGTTCCAGAAGAAGATGTCTTAGGAGTGGAACATTTCTTAGAACCTGACTTTAACAAATGCTTTTCTGGCAGTGTTCTAGATTTCAACACGTTCCACTCTCATAAGTGCTTAAGCATTGAAAATTTTTCATTCGCTGTTGAATTTGATCAGATAAAGATTGATAGTGGTAATTATCTCATTGATTTATTAGTTATTATCTTCTTATTGCAGCTGGAGCTGTATGTTAATTCATGAAGTGTTATCGTATTTACTCTAACCATTTGATTGTAAAGGTCTTCAAACATTGTCCTACCCTTTAATTTTCATTCCAACCAACGAGGGATGATTGGTCTTGAAGCTTCTTTTGATTTTTATGTTTTTGTTTCCTTGGAAGTGTGATATTTTCTCTCCAGTTGGAATGAGTTGAGCAAACCATTAAAATCTCTCTTACATGATTTTACCTTTTTCCCCCTTCAGTGAAATATTTTCCTTTTCCCTTTAGAGGGGATTTAAAGGTTCTATGGATGGAGAAAGCGTTGTGTCAGTTAACTGTTTTGTTTACTATGAACTATGCAGGTTGTTTGTTCCATTTCAATTTCAATACTGGCATTTTATCTCCTTATATTCTATCTATAGAAGGCTCGTGTTTATTTTCCAAACCGGCGACCATCGTCTGTCTTTTTTACTTGTTGACAAATGTTGATTCACTTTGAATCCTTATTGACATTTGCATTGATGGTTTGCATTGATGGTGTGTTTTATCATTTGGTAGTGATTTCAACTTGCTGTCCAAATTGGATTTGTTAGGGAAATTTTTGTTCTTTTCTCTAATGTTCATAATATTTTTGCTTTTGATATTTGGTTTGACTGGTTCAGACCTGTGGTAGCCATCTACTTGGGGTGTTAAAATCCTACTACAATTGTAGGGTCAAGTGATTGAATCCTTGTCAGTTGTTCTTAGTATCTGAATTTTCTTAAGCATAAACCATAAATCACAATTTCCCTTCTGTTTRTACTTCACGTTTTCATCTGTTTCAAAAAATATACTTCATGCTTTCAATTCTTTCTTAYGATTAAATTTTTAATTCTCTATCGCAGAATCATTGCATTCTAGCCTTACACTAGAAGGAGAGAGAACCAAGCAAGAGGTATGGTCTTATTGTCAAGTATTTCATTCAGCACAGTTGTTTTCTTCATTTCTATTTTCAATATTGTTTTAGAGGTCCTCCTCTATTGAAACTACATGTTCAATCTGTATTATCTCTATCATTTTGGACCAAAGTGACATTTCGTATCGGAAAATGTACTTCCACTCACGTTAACTGTAGCTATAACCTTAATTCTAAAATTTTTCCTTAGGTGAAGAGCATGTTGCATATCCCTGATGTTCTTCAATAATTGGTAACTTTTCTGATTTTACAGGATTAGGTGTCCTGCTGTAGTTTGAAATCTGGGTCATCTTTTATAGGAACAATCTTTCCTTATCTCTCTTGTACGCAATTTTTTTCTTAATATAATTTTTCTTTTGTAGAAAATATAGCTTTTAGTAGTAGATAGTCTTCTTCTAGTTTTTGGCRTGGGTATTAATTGGGTAGTGAGCATCCTTAGCTTGGTACTCATGAATTACACTTATTTTAGGAATTTTATAAAGGTTAGCAGTACTATTAGGATGTTAGAGGCCTACTTTTTTTTTACCTAAAGAGTTTGTCAGAGAAGTGGTTATGTGGGTTTAAAAACAAACACATTTTATCGGTTAGGCTTTGATGGAGGAGGTTTTGTTGTCTCCTTTTCGGGATAAGGGAAGATTTTTGTGGCAGACTTGTTTCTTTGTGAGGGGATTTGGATGGAGTGAAATAGTAGAATCTCTAGGGACTCCACCCAAAGATTATGTTTGAGAGATTATTAGATTTAATACGTCCAGTGGGGTCAGTTTCTAAGTTATTTGTAATTATCAGCTAGGTGTTATTCTTGTGGATTAGAACCACTTTCTTTAGTTGGGCCTCCTTTCTTTGAGCTGTTTTTTATGTCCTTGTGTATTTGATCATTTTTCATTTTTCTCAATGAAAAGTTTGGTTTCTCATTAAAAGATTAAACAAACACATTTTGGAGTGAGTCTAGCCAAGGCTTGCAAATGCATACTAACCATTGTTGTAATCATCTTTGATACTGCACTTCAGTTTCAGTCTTTTCTTACTTTTCAATCTCAAGATTGTGTTCTTATTAAATTGGTATCAAAGCGACACTGGGATCCAAAATGGAGGAAGAAATTTGTTGGAAATGGTTGACATATTAAAGAAAATGAAGGGAGAGGTGTTGTCAATTAATTGAAGCCACTTATGGTCATGAAATCTGGTACAAATAATCTGTAGATCAACAAAACCAAGAGAACTAAAATTAGCATTAGTAACATACTAGGCAAACAATGGAAGAAAAKCAATTGGACAAACATTGAAAAAACTGGATTAGATTAGAGAAGAATAGGAAGATTGAAGGACACGAGAAATCAATTGCAAACCTGGACAAGGCTTCTTTATGGATATTGTAGGAAGGGAATCACACAAAGGAGGAATGAACAATAGACGTGGGCTGAAGAAAGGAAATTTGAATCTGTGCATATATTACACAAAATGTATGAACTATGCTAGAACTAGAAGAAAAGCCAATATCAGTAGAAGAACCAGAACATTATCAAAGGGAGTATAGAAAATTATCAGATTCTGGGAAAAATTGAAGTTTCAATAATCAGATGWTGAAGACTTAGCAAATATTAATTGAATAAATAGATAATATGATTTTATTATATAGCATTAAGATTCTTGAGTTATTTCCATGATTTGTGCTATATTGGAATGGTGTTATAGAATAATTCTCTATCTTTTTTAAAAAAAGTGACTTGTTTAGACTTCAGA